AGAGAAGAGGAGGAGAATAATATATTACTCGCGGGTAATTTTGTGTAGTTTTATTCTCCCCTCTACCATAATCTTAGTTTCGCATCTCCCAGGTAGGGACAAACCAGCGTCCTGCGAAAAGTCCCTCTTAATCTTGCGATACGAGGCAGTTACCAAGGTGCGTAAATCTGATGCTACAGTGCTGCGATAGACTAATCTGCGAATACAGCATTTAATTTGACTATAGCTTGTTAGACAGTAGTAGCTTATTGATAAATGCAGTACTCTACAACTAGGAAAACTGTATCATCCGTATAATATGTTACCATGTACTCAGTAAATATGAACTTGGATTATCGTAAAGTTTTGTGTGCTATATTTGATGAGAAGACATTAAAGAGTGAAGAGAAGACTATTATAGTAACACTAAACAGATATGAGTTAATTAAATGAAGACACACAGTATAATATTTGTAGAGAATAGCGGACAACATTATACAATATGAAATAATATAAGATACGAGACAATATACATTTTAAATAAACAGCAAAAATAGTGAGAGTTGCATATGTATATCAAGAATGTATGGAGAACGCTAAAAGAGCAAGATCTTATGTATATTAGATGGTATAATGATATTAAGCTTGTGTGAACTACATCACACACACAATAAGTCATAGATTAGGGGATAAACAGAGTAATTCATAGAATAACAAATAAATTATATATTTGGCTTAAACTAAGATCACTCAGAAAATATAATGTTTTCACAGAGATGGGTCTTCCACAATATATCAAAATGTGTGAGTGAGTTAGTTCACATATTGTAGAGAAACCCAACTTTTCAGAGAGTTTCATTTCGTGCTATTTGTGTGTATGGGGTTATGTGAGTAGGCGTAAAAGAGTGAAATATATAGACTAGTTGGATGACTTGACTTAGTAATTGTAATGCCAGGTTATATGATCTGTGGCGAGTCCCAGCTGTTAGCTTCTAAACGTAATGTGCTATTCGTTTTTTTTATTTGTTTTTATTCGTAGTCTGTTTTGTGAAACGAGGGTGACATATGACCTTGTCATAAAGTTTGGTAAAAAGCACCTATTACGAATATAAATGTTCTTCTCACCATACAGATACCGACAACATAGTCATTTTCCGACACTTATTTATTAATTAATGCAAAGATGTATAGTTCACGGTGAGTGTAATACTAGCAATTATATACAAACTATTTTGTCTCTTCATATGTCCATAATGTTCCTTAAGCTCATTGCCTCATGTTATACATAATTCATTTTGCTTATAGGCAATTTGAGAATTCGTTCTTCAATGAGGAATAACTAAATATCACTATAGAGTATATAAGGAGTTCGAATCGATGTCATTTCTTACCGTATCTGAAATGTATAATTAGAGAGATTATTGTGAGGCAGAGTATATTTTGCTCATTGATATTCACATTTGTTGACTGCGTCTGAATCTGTTAAGATTTGTGTCACATATTCCTTGTATTGAATGTTTGAGATATACACATGTCAATGATATAAGTGATTGTATAATGAGACTCAGAGAAACCTATAGATTCATTCTCTCGGCATTTCTATAGCCTCTTGGTCCCGAACTATTGAGCTTCTTCGGTCCGAGCACCACTCTATTAGACTAGAGCACTTATGCGGTTAATTATATAAATCTATATTTCTTCTCTTCTGTCGCGGCTGCCCCGTCCGATTGAGTATTAGAGTATAGATGGCTTCATTGTTCTTTTCAATCTGTGTATGCGATATGGCACTTGGGATGCTAGACAGAGAGGTTGGTTATATGAGAATGGATTGAGTTGTATTGCACGATCTTTCACTCATTTTCCTGTTTGTGCGGAGAATTTCAGTGATTGTGACATACGTTTTAGAGTGCTGCTTAGATCTAACATGAGAGTCATTTTGGTGGCAAATTCCATAGCATATAATAGAGATTGTTCTCGATGACACTGAGAAGGTCCATGATAGGTTCGGTTATAGATGCGTTAAGTTGAGAGATATATGACACGCTTGTAGTTGGCCAATAGTAGAGAACTTACTGAAGCTGAACTTGTTGCATGATTTGCGAATTTTTTATGAGCTATGAAATGCTCAGAACTTTGTGTACATTAGTCGCAGGCAGATCGACATATCACTAATGCTAGCGAGTACACATATGAGCTCGGCTTTTTCAAGTCGCAGTACATCTGTGAAAATGAGAGCGATCACTACTCTCTTATGCGTGAGAATACAATCGTACTATATGACTTAATTTTCTTAATTTATGTCACGCCACATAAGATTGGAGATGTCTTAATTCACATAAGTTTTCTTACTTACTTTTGTCAACTTCACTGCATCAGATGTTAAGAGAGACTAGTCAAAACTTAAGATAGTTGTAGAAGGTGATAAGTGATCAGCATGATAGGAGGCAAATGCGAGATCTATATGCACTGTAGGCAGATTAGTATATATCGAGAGTACTCTATTCAATATATTTTATTTGAGCTCTAATGACTACTCGAGATGTGGTATTGTATTGTCAACTCTTATTGAGAGTAAGTATATGATGAGGTGGAGTTGACTCGATAAGAGATTATATAAAGCGATATCGTTGTATCGTACACGTATCTCCCCATACCACCAAGTTTGACGTCCTGGCACCAAACACTTATAGCTATTCATTTATTTTAAAGAGACCACGACACTCATTGGTTATGGCGGTATAACCAAGTTGTAATCCTTTGGTCATACACCAAAGTTTCACCAATTTCAGGTAGTTAGTCCTCCCACAATATTAAATTTCAAAAAAAAGGTTATGGGATGGGCGTGGACTTTCTATTTGAGAAAATTTTGACACGCGAGAAGATTGAAATCAGATTGCGCTACATACTACTTGAAGATTCAATTCTTTGATATACAATATAGAGAAGTGAATCTCAAAGAAGATCTTACTAGAGAAGACTGTATGGTACGTCATATAATATATCATGGAGATACTACCTAATATTATAACATAATCATAAGTGAAGACGAGAGACTAAACACTATAGTCGAAACAAGAGAACTAGACATTGATGGCTTTAGATCACTAGTGATAATAATACCAATTGTTAGGAGTAGTCCAGAGAACACAATACAAAATATGGCGTAATTCCCTTAAGGCATCTTATCTGGAAGTCCGATGACTAAACCCTGGAGATCTACTGAAAAGCACTACTGACATAAAAGCCGAAACTAGAGGCTCATGATAGATGGAGATCTGAGACATTATGACTATCTCAAGAGAGAGAATTGATCCATGGTACATCGAGCACATAGATCATTTTAATATAGACAAGCGAGAGAAATCGAACGATTTCACATCGACAATGGTAACCTTTGTGTATCGACTCACTCACTATTATATGTTTCTGATATGAGTATCGTTATGTACATGCATATTTATGAATACTGGGATATATACGATTAATGTCATCGAGTATACTTAATCTGGATATCTTAGCTTACTAGATATTGATTAGGATCTATAGGTGGACAATATTTGCCCTTCTCCACTTAACCTCTCTTTGAATAATGAGTATAGCATCTTAGGACCGCTCTAATTAGGTAACGCTCCAAGTTGATATTATTACAGGAACCTCATACAGATATTTGAAAATTAGTCGATAAATATTTTATTTTAATTGAATAATGTTTTTATATCTCATCTTTTCTTTATCCTTTCTTCAATTTTTTGATTTTAAAATAATATATCCCTTACGAATCTTTTTATCATTATTACTAAATTATTTAGTTTCTTCTAACAATTTATTCATAGAGTAAATTCCTGATAAATATTTCTACCTTCCATTTTTATGTTCGCTTGCATTAAATTATCTGCGATTAATGTATATCAAAGTTGATAAATTTGGTGTATCGCTTCTTCTTTCGACTTTTTATATATTATTGTGGGCATTTTTGTGTGTTGGCGAGAGATTTATTACACTAATATACAGATTTCCTTGAATTATCATTATGTTTCAGCTAATTATAACTAGCAAATTAACATATACAGAGCATGTGAATGTTCCTCAACTAGACAACGCCGTTACCACAGCCATCCATCGTCCAGCACATAATGAGCAGCAAATTATGTGGAGGGCAGACCATTATGATCTAGAATTTAGATGGTAAAAATAAGATCGGCACTTACGCCTATTACGGCTCTACCGAATGTTTGACAAGGATTCACGTGAAGTACGATAGGACCATTATAGAAACACTGTATAAGCATACAAAAAGAGCAGGCGCTCTCACCAAACGAGGAGAGACTTCAATGAGATAGCACAGAATTTCACCATTCCTGAATCCAGTCGCCGATTAGTTGGGTCTGATGGTGGCTCTTAATCTCAACGGATAGCTTCCCCTTCCGACAGAATAGGGACTCTATGACAAACTGAAACAGAGAATGTACCGGTCCGGTCTGGACCCATAGGTTCGGTGACGAGTTGCCTGAGGCCCTCAAGTTGGCTCGCCGAATACAACTTCGTCGAAAGATAGGTGTTTCCGCCTTGGGGCGGTATAAAAAAAAAATTTAATAGCACACAGTGCTTCGTGCCCATGCGGACTTCAGCCAATCATCTAGAATGAGTGCTAAAACCGCAAGAACCATACAGTGACAAACCTTCATTCCACTTAGCATGAGTCTATCATCAAT